CTAAAAACCAATCGAACGAAATGACGTTCAATAATTCGAAAACCTGCAGGTTTTCGAATTATTCCCAAAAATAATTTGAAAAACAATTTGGAACAAAAAATTGTAATTGCATAACTACCCTAAACCTAAAAATAATCAATTAATAAGCGATTGAATTTTCTGATGGTTGTTGAAAATTTGTTGGAAATTCCAGTTCGTTGGGAAATATTGGAGCTTCATTATAAAGTTAATGATGTAGGTGAACTGCACCACAGCTTTTTGAAGCAGGTTTTTTAGGATGATGTTTTTTATTGTGTCTGGCCCCAGTGCCTTGTTCTTTGGTAATGTTTTTATAATGTGTTTTACGTTGTTGGGTTTGGTTATGTTATTTGTTCTGGTGTTTTTTTCCTATTCCTTGTTTTGGTTGTTAGATTAGTTATATTCGGTTTTGGTGTTTTTTAATTTTCGTAAAAGCTTCCTTAGACTATGGTCTGTGGGGGTAAGTAATTATAAAGTACCGATCCATATTTGATTTAATTTTTTGGTGTTGTTTTTTATTTCTGTTCTTAATTTGTTGTAATTTATAATATCTATATTGTTACTGTATTGTTTAATTAATGGGCAGTGTGTGTGATTTTGGTGGTCTTATTTTTGACGTAATTTATCTTCTGTGTGAAGGTTTTAATGGCAGCGTCAACTTCTTCTTTGGTGTTTATGTTGTTGTTTATTTTGATATTATAGTTGAGTATTCATCTAAAGTTACTCCATTATATGTTCTTGTAGCACGTGCTTGGGGTCCTCAATGCTATAGTCGCACAGACTAGATGATCTAAGTCTAATTCGTGGAGTACTGCCACTGGGGCCTTTAAATTGATGTTTTGTCTAATTATCAGGTCTAATATACGAAGGGTAAACCGCTGATTTTTTAAAATTAAAATTTGCCTACCAATTAACTTCTAAGGAGAAAAATCCTAAGGGTAGTCATGCGCAACGTGTCGCTAAGAAAATTTGTTATTGATAAGGATTTTTTCTTATTGATAATAACTGATAACGTCCACATTTATGTGTATCAGTGCGCGTGGTCGCTTAAGGTAGTTACGTGCATGCCATTTTTAGTCGTCATAATAATTTTGTCAGAAATATTTGGCATGTCAATAAAAATTAAACTAAGAAAAATTCTTTCTATTTTTAGGAAACACATTATTTTATACATTTTAACGTTATGTTTTAAAAATAATGACCGCCGTTATTGTCAATGCACATTTGAAGCCTATTACGATAGCTCGTCATTGTTCTGCGCGCCATGTCTTGCGGGATTGCGTTTATTTCTTGCCTTATTTCTACCTTTAGATTTTCCAAATTTTGTGGACGATGTTTAAAAACTTGTGATTTTAGATACCCCACAAAAAAAATCGCAAGGGGTCAAATCAGGCAAACGCGGAGGCCACCCAATATAACCCCGTAAGAAGACAGCTTAGCCCACACATTTTATTTTAAAAAGCCCTTGCGTAATTATGGACCTTTAAAAAATAGAAAGCTTTTTCTTAGTTTGATTTTTATTGACATCCCAAATATTTCTGACATAATTATTATGACGACTAAAAATGGCATATACGTACCTACCTAAAGCGACCACGCGCACTGATCCACACCCCCCACGAGCCGAGCAATGACACTTTAAAAATGGGGCATCCTTTTTGCCGCACCCTGTATTATATTAAACAATTACAAAAAAATTTTTTTTTTAATACAACTATAAACGAAGGAGACAAAAGATCAATACATATTTTGAAAACAAAAGCTCAAATAAAAATACTTATTTGAAAAAAGTGTTAGTCAATCAGATTATCTTTTATTTTACATAAATCTTTTTATCTTTGATAATAGTTATTTATGTTATTAGGTTAAGAAGTAAGGCTTTTTGTGCTAAGCTCAAGGTTTGAAGCGAAGCACAAAAAGGCACTTCTTGGCTGAATGGCATACAACATTTTATCTTCAAAGCACTTTATATAGGTCAATTTAATTCAACATCAAAGCAGCCTAACCTCACTTTTTTAGAATCTCATTTATTTATTAGCTAAAGATTACAATAATTATTATTGCTTTTAGAAGCAGTAATAGTTTGAGAATAACTAGGTACATGATTTAAGTAGAAATGGATTTTTGCTATTACATTGAATTCAATTAATTGTTTAATAAATAGGTAGTTTGGAATGTTTAAGCTGTGTTTAACATTTAATTTCACTGAAAACTTAAAGCAAATTAAAACTTAAGGATAATTTAAATCGTATAAAAAGAATCGTGCTTTTTCTTAGTTGCATAACCTCACTTTTTGTTTTATTATTCATATTTAATTTTACAATAATTTAATGAAAAATATTAAACATTAACAGTAAAACAAACAAATTAGTGCTTATTATAAATAAATTAAACCAGTTTAGTACGTTAATTTGTCAAAACAATACCCCTAGCGAGAAAAAATCGAACTAATTACTTGCCTCATAAATTTTTTTATCGGCCTAGGCCATAACAAGGTATTTCTTTATCGAATGTTGACAACAATAAAGTTTAAATTATAGACCGCGTGGAGATAAAAAATTTTACACGACAATTGTAGACAATTTTGAAAAAGGTCGATAATTTGAAAAATATTTATTGGAAATAAGTGTTAGACTGGATTAAATCTACGTCTGTATTAAGTTCCTTTTAAGCAGGAACATCCTGTATAACCTACAAAATCCTAATATCTACCTTATTGATACTTTAAGATACGAACCGGATCAACTTTTGGATCCCTATTAGAATAATTTAAATTTTAATGAGCATCAATTTAATAAAAATTAAAATATATTTTTTTATCTATAGATATTTGCGGAAATATGCAATTTTTAAATTTTTTGAATTGTAATTTGCAACTTCAATTTTATTCGATCGTGCATTAATTTTTTTAAGTATCGATAAGGTAGATGTTAGGGTTTTGTAGGTTATACAGGATGTTTCTATAGAAAGTAGGTGGGGCAATCCATGCCAAATCACCGAGGTTTTGACCCGACCCCCTTCGATTTCGCTGAAACTTTTTTATCATTTTCTATCTTACCAAAGACATTTTTCTGAATTTTTTCAGATTTTTTTACCCGACCCAAAAAAAGTTACGAATTTTTGAAAAAAACCGCTCTTTTTTTTTTAAATTGCAATAACTTTTTCACAAATTGACCTTTCGGCACGTTTTTTTTTTTTGAAATTTTTGTTTTTAAATGTAGTTTTCAGAAAAAAATACAAACAATTTTTCGGAAGTCACGATATATGAAATATTCCAGTTTTTTCAATAAAACCGTCATTTTTTCGAATTCTGAAACCTTCGATTCTCAATTTTTTTGTCTCAAAAAAAACTTTAACTAAGACAGTATTTAACCCCACTATTCCCATTTTGTGCCGACTTTCCATTCTATTGTTTTTTTTTTCGATTGAAAATAAAGAAATTTCTCAATTTGGCTTATTTTTTATGACTTTGCGTTGAGGTTTTTTTTATTGTTTTTAAAAGCTCAGAACTTGAATAAAATTGGATAAAAACAACCGTAAATTTTTTATAAAAGTATTGTTTTTACATCGTTAAAAATCTAAATATTTTAATTATTTTCCTCGGTTTAGCGATTGTTTTCTTGAATTCTTAACCGTACAATGTTCTTAAGGAATGAACTTATGTTAAAGAATGAACTTGCATTAAAGAAGGTACGGAAGGTTATGGTAATAAAAAAACATAAAGAAAGTACGAAAGGTTGTGGTGGATGTTCAGTGACTGATGGTAATGAACTTGTGTTAAGGAATGAATTTGTGTTATTAAATTATAAAGAAAGACGATTATAATCACATTCAAATATATGTTTTTTAAAGTAGGTATACTTGACGTTTCGTTGTTTTTTTTTATTTAAAAGAGGTGGTAAAATAATAAAAATGAGAATTTTTTAAAAAATAACACTTTTTATAAACTAATGTTTTGATATTTTTTAAACTGTGAAAAATTCAGAAAAATGTCTTTGGTAGGATAGAAAATGATAAAAAAGTTTCAGCGAAATCGAAGGGGGTCGGGTCAAAACCTCGGTGATTTGGCATGGATTGCCCCAGGTATACTTAAAAGGAACGTAATATTAGACGTTGTAAATCTTATCACTTATTTCCAATAAATATTTTTCATTTACTATTATGCATGATTCTATGTTATGATTGGCGTGATCGGAATGACCGCTAATCAGAGGAAAGTAACTCTGCTTTTTTATCATGGCCGCCGAAAGAACCTTAACGTAGAATCACGCTTATATATATACAGATTGGAAATGGCTTAAAAAAGAAGATTTTTTACAGAGAATTTTCAATAATTTTAATCACAAGTATAAAGCAAAATTTGATGCTTTCTTCAAAGAAGCCAACTGAATACTTTTAATGGAAAAGTAGATTAATAAAACGAGTTATGTAATATAAATAAGATTAAAAAAAATGTTTTATGTCCTTATAATAAATATTTTTAATGCAGTAAGGATATTTGCTTTTAAAACTGTACTGCATGCCAAAAAATATACTATACAAGTATGTATACATAAAATAATTACTTGATATTGCTTAGAAATGGATTAATAGATTTTCCACAAAATGGATTAAATAAGCTATTTTATAAACATTTTAGTTTTATTGTATCCAAATATTTTAATGAATATTGAATGAAATGGTATAAAATCTAAAAGCGATAACAAATTTTTATAATCATTCTTATTTTATTTTTTTTAAAGTGCATTACATTGTTTTAATTTATTATGTATTATCAATCATTTCAAAAATCCTCATTGACATTTGACCTACTGTGGATTTATAAAAATGTTTTTTCCAAAAATCAACAAAAATAAACTACTTACATAATATACCTTAACCTTTAAAAATACATTAAAATACTGGTCAGGAACAAAATAAATTATTCTGGCCAAATAGAAATATTAACTTAATTCAAATGTTAATCATCTCCCAACATATATATTTTTTTAATTAGAATAACAAGAACCTATCTTTGATGTTCAAAACGAGTTAATTTAAATGGCACATTAAAATACGGTGGTGGTGGCAGGCAAAATTCAGATGTCCTTCGTTCTGTTTATAGTATAAAAACAGATTTTTATTAAGGTAACTTATCATTCTCACTTGGAATATCACACAAAATGAAAGCTTTTTTGGTAAGCCAACAAGTGTTTAAAAAAATTGGATTATACGTTAATTATATTATTATTTTTACAGTGTGTTGCCCTTCTTACCGTTTTGGCAGTTTCTTCTGCCAAAAACATCGAACCAAAAAACTCAAAACGTGATGTTTCTGAGCTTTTGAACGGTGGAAATGGCTTCAGCAGCTATTCCTCTTCCTCTTCCTTAGGAAGCGGACTTGGATACTCTTCCGGATCCATCTTGGACGGTGGTGCCACCTTTGGATCAGGATCTTTTGGAGGTGCTTCTTTGGGAAGCTTATCTTCATTCGATAACAGCGCTGCTTCTTTGGGAGGTGTATCCTCTTTGGGAGGTGTATCTTCTTTGGGAGGTGTATCCTCTTTGGGAGGTGCTTCTTTTGGCGCTTCTTCTTTGGAAGATGCTTCCTTTGGAACTGCTTCCTTAGGAGGTCTCTCCACCTACAATGCTGGTTCTTCCCTCATCGGAGCTGGTTCCTTGGACTCTGCTGCTTTGACTGGATCTTCCTTGTCTGGAGCCTCTTTCGGTGATGCTTCCTTGGGTGGAGTAGGTTTGTCTGGTGCTTCCTTTGGAGGTTCCAACTTGGGTGTATCTTCCTTCGATAACTCCGCTGCCTTGAGCGGTCTTGGATCTTTCGGCGGTATCTCCACCTTGGGAGGAATTGGTGCCGGTCAAGTTTCTGTGGGTCATGTTCAAGTGGGTGCCCCAATCGCTTCCGTTTACCAGGCCCAAGCCGGTCAAATCATCGGCAAATCTTTGGGAATCAACGTTAACAACCACGTAGTCAAGACTGTTGTAGAAAAGGTAGCCGTCCCAGTACCAAGACCAATTGCCGTACCACAATACAAAACCATCCATGTACCAGCCCCTTACGCCGTCAAATCCCAAAAGAACGTAGCCGTACCATACAAAGTAACTGTACCAGTTGCCGTAGAAAGGCCAGTTCCAGTGCAAGTACCACACCCAGTCCCAGTACCAGTACAAGTACGTGTACCAGTAGAAGTACAAAGACCATACCCAGTTAAAATCACCAAAACCATCGCTGTACCAGTAGAGAAACCAGTATACATCCGTGTACCACATCCAGTCAAAGTACCAGTAAACCAACCCGTTCCAGTAGCAGTCAAAACCCCAGTCCACATTAACGTACCACACCCAGTAATCGTTAAGGTACCAGAACAAATCAACATTGGATCCCGTGCACACACACACGTCCAATACAACTCTGGACTTAGCTCTGGACTCGCCTCCGGATACTCTACTGGACTATCTGGACTCTCTGGAATCGGTTCCTTCGGAGCCTCTGACGTAAGCTTGGGTTCCGGCCTTGCTTTTGGAGGTCTTAACTCTGGAATCAGCACTGGTGACATCAGCTACGGATCCACCAGCTACTCTGGCCTCGGCTCCGGAATTGGCTCCGGTGCCGCTGACTTCTCTTCTTTTGGAACTTCTGGACTCGCCTCTGGATCCGGTCTTGCTCTTGGCTCCGGAATCAACACTGGTGCCGCTGACTTCTCTTCCTTCGGAACTTCTGGACTCGCCTCTGGATCCGGTCTTGCTTTTGGCTCCGGAATCAGCGCTGGTGCTTCTGACGTTTCCTTCGGAAACTCCGGATTCACTTCCGGTTCCGGCCTTGCTCTTGGTTCCGGAATCAGCTCCGGCTCTGGAATCAGCTCCGGCTTCGAAAACTTTGACTTTGGATCTGCCGGTTCCAACATTGATTTAAGCAAATTCGCCTCTGGATCCAACTTTAACTTCGGATCTGAAGCCGCCAGCAAATCCGCCGTAGAAGGATCCGTCTCTGAAATCGCTTCTTCTGCCTCCTCCGGTAGCGATGCCTCTTTCTCCTCTGGAATTGGTTCCTCCATCTCTGCCGAGACCACCAACGAAATTGCCAGTGCTTCCACCGACTCCAAAGTAACCAAATCCCTTTAAATTGTTCTTATTCTTGAACTGTTTATATGAATAGTATTAAAACACACGAATAAATTTTCAAAATAATATTTATTTTGTTTATATTTTTCCTTTCACAATAACGTCAAAAAATGCAAAAATTAAAAAGTAAATAAATTTTAAATCAATAATAACTTAAATTAATGAAACAAAAGTTATTACAAAATCAAAATATGACCGCAATCCCAACCAAATTACTATTAAATTTTAATTTTGAATTTTATTTATTTTTTTATCTTTATACTGCAAAAATATAGTAATAATAATAACCATTTAAAACTATTTATTGTAAAAAGTAATTAAAATTTTATTATTTTATATATTTATGTAGGTCCTACATTGTAGGTATTAAAATATACCTTTTATATAACTTATACACGGTGCACCGCGGTGGCTCAAAAGATTGGAATATTGAAATATCAAAAATATTAAAAAATAACTTTTATTAAAGTTGTTTGGTAGTTCATTTCAAAATTTCCGGTGATATTGCCAACTTTAAAATTAATTTTAATAATATTAAACCGATATAGAAATGATATCGGGTGGTTGAGCGTTAAACGTTAAAAAAATTTAAATTTGTATAAAAGTTTTTTGTTGTAGTTTTTCTTGAGGCTTCACATCGTTTACCTGTAATTCATTTTTAATTCGACATTCAGTTCAATTTTAACATGTAATGGTGTACTAATAGTAAAATAAATAGCTATTGTTTTAAAAAACAATGCGTACTGAAAAAGATCTAATTGAAATTTTAATGATGGTTGGGTATGGTGACCGACAAAGGACTCAGCAAGAAGTATGTACATTATTTAATGCTATGTATCCGGAAAAGGAGCCTCTGATATAATCATGCATAAGCAAAATTCTAAAAAAAAATCTAAAACCGGAAGTGTGAAAAATAGGACTAAAAGCGGTCGACCAAAATCTGCCACTGCCCTGAATGTGCTATTGCAAGTCCATGAAGTACCTACAGTTTCTTGTCGGGGGTTGCCTGAGACAACGATATCAGTTATGCGTCAATGCAAAGGTTAAAAAGGCGATTTTGATCGTAAGGCTGAGTTTTGTGAAATTTTGATGAAACATTGTAATCAAGATCCAAATTTCTCAGAAAACTTTTAGAGTTTTTTTTGTTTTCATTTTCGAGTTTTCAAAATTAAATTATAGGAATTATAATATTTAATTGCAAATCTATATTTAAAAAACAATAAGTATACAGATTTTGTTTACCTTAAATTGTATTTATAAATTATAATGCAAACTTATCTTAGTTTTATTTTGCTTTTATACATTTAAAAATATAGAGACTTTTTTGTGCAAAGAGCTAGTTGAAATAATGTTTAAATCCAAGAAATGTAATGATGTCAAGGGTGAGGCTTTGCAGTTTCTATTGTAGGTAATATATTATTGGGAGTTTGTTAAACATTTTATTTTATTGTAATCATTTTTTCCGTTTCACGTTCCGCCACTGGATGTGGATTCGTCGAAATTTGTGCATTAGGTACTACATACATCAATGCACCAGTAACATTATTCTTAGCTCTATAAGTATAAAATATGTGTTTATGGATAAAAATACAAAAATATTCCCTTATACCCAGGGAAAAACATGAAAATATGTATTTATATTCGAAAATGTTTAATTACTTTAATGAATACTTAATATTAAGGATTGATATATTATTTTATAGTAACGTGCCATAATTAAGTTAATAATGTATTAGTTTTTTTAATTTAGAATTGCAGTAATAATTTAAAGATATAATACTGTTTATAATATATTAAGAAAAAAAAACACTATTGAAAGCAACTCGACAATATTAATTTTCTATGTACACAGTAAAAAAATATTTGTTAATTTTAACCAAATTAAATAGATTTTATGTTAATTCAGGTCAACATAACTTTATGTTAAGTTTATAACCAACTGTAATCTGTTAACTAATAAGTACCTATTTTGTAATTATGACAGACATTTTGTAGATTTAATAACAAAATTATATGTCAATATAATATAATAATAATATATGTAGTTTTTAAAAGGGACCTTATTTTTAAAAACCTTTTTGTAGACCCAGTAACAACAGTATATGTTGGAAATTGGGAACTTGAATGAAAAGAATTTTGATAAGAAATGTTGATTTATTAATCAATTTTGTTAACAAAAAAATTAACACGTACCTAAATAAATAAATACAAAAATAACATACACACAATTAAATATCACACCATTCAGAAATCATTAAATTATAAAGAAATTTGGTACAATATAACTATTATTACTACAACAACACTTACTGATGTATTTCGTAACTTTAACCCACTTCACTGTATCCCCTAATTTCAGTTTAAGACCAGTGATGGCATCAATTTTTTTGGATACTTCGCACACTTGTTTAACAGGTAAAAATTTAAGTGGGAAATGTTTTAATTGGCTGCCTGCACGTGTACTTTTTCAAACAAAAAATTTGTTAAATTATCTGTAATCTTTGAATATTAACAAAATTGCATATTACCTTTCGATAAAATATTTTCCTTTAATAATTACAGGCCCTGGTTTTATAGAAAATTTTATGTTAAAATTTTACAAAATAAAATTAACAAACTACAAACTCATTTTAAAAAATCTAATTTTTATAACAGTGTAGTCGGCTCCAGTTGGTCTTTATCCGTTTGATGTCGTCGATCATTGAAAACACCGAAGGAGTCCATCTGATTGGTCGACTGCAGCCTCTATTTCAGTAGGCATCTCATAAATTTTATATTATAGTATGAGATGTAAGAAGTAAAGTTTATGATAAACACCAACTGGATAGGAAAAGCTCAGGAGTGGAAGTTACGGAAGACCTACGACCTCGTATGTTCAGCAGTGGACGCAGATTGTAGCATAATGATGATGTAGTCGGCTTTATAGGCTTTATGTCATTTTATAACAAAATTTATTTCATTTATGCTTGTTTGGCTTAAAATGCCATATACCTAGAGGTTATATTTTTTAAAGGACATACATTAAATTGATGATTAACGACGACCAGTAAATAATTTAATTTTGATTTAATAAAAACTCTAATATAGTCGCGGCCAAATCTGTATGGGTGCACGTCATCAACGGCATATGACGTCAGCGTTAAGGTCTATTCATACGTGCCCAGACACAATCTAACGCTCGTGTATTGTTGACTGTTTATAGCGGTGGGGGCTGTTATTAAGATGGAATTATAACGTCCTTGTTATAATCTTCTGCACTAACTAATTAGGAGTTTGTTACAGGCAAATTTTTATTAAATGTGTTTAAAGAGAAAACAAACGGAGTTTATTACATTTTTTTTATGCACATTACAAAAAAATACTAAATTATCAGAAACACAAAAATAATAAATTACCAGTCGTCCTTGTCATCAGAGCAAACCAGGTCAGAATTGAAGTCTGATTATTTCCCCAAATTTATTATTAAGGGCGCAATGTCTTCGAAATCTAATAACGGCTAGTTGCCAACAAGCCTTATATCATTGTTTGCACAATCCAAGGATAGAATCTTTAAAACATAATGTATAATATTATTTATATTAATTTACAACAAACGATGCTTCCGGGCGAAATGTCACAATTACAAAAATACGTCAAATATAAAATGACAGCGACCCATCAATAATATTGAACGGTGCGCGCCAGCCTTAACCTATTACCAACACAAAAATTACTAAGTGAATGGTTTTATTTTGATAATTTCGTGAAAAAACGTTTTAAAACAAGGAAATTGTTACAGTTCTTGGTAAACAATACGCAAATGAATGATTTCTTTTTAATAACACATCAGAATTACGCCTTAAAAAAGCAAATTTAACGGCAGTAACTTTACAATTCAAAGTTGGTAATGCTGACGTCATTATATCTCATTGATGACGTGCACCCATATAGATTTGGCCGTGACTATATATTGTCATAATTTCTGTCAAAATTATTGACAATATTATACCTTATACATTGTATTTAATTTCAAAACATTCTGTATCTTAGCTACCATTATAAATGATATCGCGAAGAAAACAAGCACAATAATTTTTATAGCAAATTTTATGCTCCTTCTTGTTCTCAATTTTAATTTTTTTTTACAAAATTAATTATTTTTTCTTAAATTTAAAAATGCCTTAAAATCCTCAGAATGTATTTCCATAAAATTTTGATTTAAATGCCATCTTTTGCATTTTCGATTTTTCGTTCAAAATCAATTAAAATATTTTTGTATGTAAGTAAATTGTATGCTTAATGTTATTAAAACAAATTTTAAAATATTTGTTTTTAAATATAATTTTTTGGGGTATTAAATTTTTTATATTTATGATTTTATACCAATTTTACAATAGTTTAAATAATTTAAAATGCCTTCAAAATGCATTAACCTGACACATTTTGTACTTATGCATTTAAAATATGTTTGGATGAGCTCTGGTTTGGATGGTATCCCTAATTTTCTGTATAAACTACAGTACGAAAATTCCTGGACATTTTCCATAAATTCTCAAAATTACAAACAGAAAATCTGGAGGTTTTATAAAGCATACGATTTTATTTAGGTTTAAATTTTAAAATAAGAGTAGGGGCGTAGTAGTTCAACTACTGTAGTTGCTGTAATTTTAACTTTCCTAAAAGTGATACAAAAGTCCGGTCAATCTAGACATTCGAAGGTACATAAATTTACAACAAGCTGAAAATCAGTAAAATTGTTCAGAATATAATTATAAATAAAATTTTAAAGTTCCCCATCATTCCCCTGTATGGAAAATTTTTTATTCAAGGTCAAAGGTCAAAAAAATGAATTTTCGCGATTTTCAGCAAAACGGTAGGTTTTATCATAAAAATACACCAGACAAAAATTGTAGATCATAAAATTATCTATAAAAAATGTACCAATACTTTTTTTCTACGAGCCACCGTTTCTGAGATATAACGATTCGAAAAGTTGTAAAAGTTATAATCGCCATAATATGCACACGTTTCCACGCCACCTATGAGGTTGTTTACGTAGCGCGTTTTTTAAC